TTTTACTAGGGAATTTCGACTGCCCAAAAATTTATTTTTATGATGCGTAAGCGCAATGAATTCGTTCGTAGAACAATTTAGACTTTTCTTCTCTTTTACATTTATTTACAGCTATAATATCGTTTTTATGATACTCACGTACGTACTGCCCATCATTTCGATGACATTCACTTATTCACGAGTGGGCTTTGAGCTTTGGGGCTCAAAAGCAATTGGCGAACATACACCGCGACAGGTAGAGAATGTCAAAAGCAAGAGGAGGGTAAGTAGAAGATCTGGAAGTTGTTAAGAGAATTTGTTTAAGTAAATTTTACTTTAAAGGTTGTATAAGCACAGAGGATTCTTGCTTTTACTTACATATGTACATGTCGTCGTTTAAAGTACAAACCCGCGTATCAGAAAAATGCAAAACCGCGTATGTGAGGTTGCATAAATTATTTTCTAGCGAGTAAAAATACTCATATTTCAAAATGGTTCTCATTTTTATAAAGCAATCGTATTTCTGGCTAGTATATTTCAGGACGAATGGACAAGGATTTATCCAAGAGCTTGTGTGAGCAAATCCAATTTTTTGCAGCAACTGTTAGTTACGTGGTTTTATACTTTAAACGACGATATGTAGATATATAGCTAAGCGATTATCCTCTAGTAAAATCTATATGCACATACTTAAAAATTAAAAACAAAAAGCAATGTTTAAGCAAAAAACAAAACCGACTTCAATTCTGATATAAAAATTTAATTTCTTCATAATCCAATGATCGGATCTAAACCAAATTAGTATGGGACCACAAGGTCTGGGGTAAGGCCTTTCCTTTGAAAAAATAGAAATCGGTTAACGTGGTCCAAAAATATGCGGCAACATACATTAAAAAAGAAAATAAATAAAAAAAATTTCGACGAATTGATAACCTTCTCCTTTATTGAAGTCTGTTAAATATTGAAAAGGATAATATAGTGCGAATTGAAAGCAATGTGAGTACTGTAAGCTATTTGCCCAATGCATTTTACGAGTATGTATGTTAGGGTGGTCACAAAATGCAAGTGAAAACCGTAAAGTCCGAATTTAATTGCTTTCATCGCCTAGGCTTGTTCCACATCGAAAAATAGACCTCTGTTTTTATATTTTTGGTAAAAAATATACAGAATTCTTGAAAACCAACGACTACGATTTATATAAATCTTTTATAAAGGAAAGATGTTACCGCACAGGTGGCCTCGTACTAATTTGTTTATATCCGATCGTTGGATCATGAAGAAATTAACGATAATCATAATTTTTAAAAGAGAATTTAAAATGGGTTTGGTTTTTTGCTTAAAAATTACTTCTAGTTTTCTATTCAGTTTGAAACTTAGAATATTTTTTTTTTTTTTAATTGAAAATTCTTATTCGAGATATTTAGGGCTTCTGTTATATTTACAATCAAAATTACAGATATTGTTGATAGTAGTACATATTTACTCTTAAAATGTTAATATTTCTGTGTTCGTATGGAATGGTAGGTTATGTCGGGAAGTTGGCTTTACTATACTGCGGCATTCCCTTTATTTATTTAAACGTTAAGGAATACAAGGAATACCTTGATGAGTCGTAATTACAATATTCACTTCCTGGTATCGGAACTATTTCTTGCACGTTTAGTTGCCAAAAGTTCCAGCCTTTCGACGTCAGCTACTATTCAATACGAACACAGATATACATACATTCCATTCCTTAATTATGCATACATATTCTACAATCTTCTTTTCATCATCATTTATCACTATTGAGTACTCAATTAAAGACACTTTCTTTCAGGTGGTCAAAATGATGATGGTTGTTGTGTTGATATTTGCCGTTTGTTGGCTGCCATTTCACACATACTTCATTGTCACTTCATGTTATCCGGCGCTGACAGAAACACCATTCATACAAGAAGTTTATCTGGGCATATATTGGCTAGCCATGAGCAACTCCATGTATAATCCGATTATTTACTGTTGGATGAATTCGAGGTATGTATGTACATATGTCCATAGGTACCTATAAGGATAAGTATACATATGACATGCATCTGATTCAAAATATACAACATGAGGATACCTATTCATACACACATACTTACACAAAGAAACATTTTTATCCCTGCAAGATAAATTCAGTTGAATGAAAGTGAAAAGAGTTTGATTTATGTGGTTTGGTTTATTCTAAGAATCAGTCGGATTGTCATTTGATATTCCTTAGTGTCAGTGTAAAAGTTACGAAACTAAATCGTTATCACTGCGGCTGGATGTTTCACTTCAACCCGAGGCAAGAAATTTATGCTTTTACAATCGTATGTGTATCAGGGTGGTCCAAAAATGCCTGTGGGGGAAAAAGTAAATTCAGAATTTTGTTGCTCTCACCTCTAGGATTGTTCTATACCGAAAAAATTATACCCCTATTTTTTTATTTTAAAATCAAAAAACGTTTAAAGGTCGCTCAAAGCGACCAAAGTTTTCCATGTATTTTGTATGGGGAAAAAACAACTTTTCGTAGATCTGGTATAGAATTCTTAAAAATCAATATTTTTCTATCGGAAAACTCTAT